TGTGCCTGGGAAGGCAGTGGAAAATGGTCCAAGTGCTTGGGCCCCTGCACCCACGTGGGAGACCAGAGGAGGCTCCGGGTTCCAGGCTTTGACAGCCCATCACTGGTCATTATGGCCATTTAGGGAGTGAACGAGTGGGTAGAAAGTATTCTCTCTCTCTCTCTCTCTCTCTCTCTCTCCCCCTCCCTCTCCCTCTTCCTCTTCCTCTCTTCCTCCCTCCCTCTCTCCCTCTCCTTTTTTCTCTGTAACTCTGCCTTTCAAATAAACAAATAAACTCTTCAAAACAAAGTAAAAGTAAATAAATAAAATGCAGGGAAGCCTCCGAGCCCTCATCTCTCGCTGGTCCCCTTGTTTGACTGACAGCCAGCCTGCAGGGACCTCTCAAACCCAGGGTCCTCCCTGTAGACAGAGCACTCATTCTGAAATGCAAATAGAATCACTTCTCTTCCTTCAAAACCTTCCATGGCTCCCTGTGACCCCCAGACGACGCCAAGGTCTGAAGCCTGCCGGGTAGGGCCCTGCAGAACACAGACCTGGCCAGCATGCCTGAACCCACCCCCAGACTCCAGCAGGAACGGAAAGCCTTCCTCCAGGACCCCTTCCCTGAGCCCCCAAATCCTCGTCTCTAGGGAACTCCCATGCGTCCCTTGCTAAGGAACCAACTCACTGATTCTCACAAACAGCCCAGGTGGCAGGCAGTGGCATTGCCCCCATTTCACAGATGGGGAGACTGAGGCAGAGCCCCACAGCACAGGCAGAACAGAACCAAGGCTCTCCCAGGCCAGGGGCATGGCTCCCTCCTCTGCTACTTTTTTTAAAGATTTATTTATTTATTTGGAAGCAGAGTTAAGAGAGGCAGAGGCAGAGGGATGGTGGGGAGGATCTTCCATCTGTTAGTTCACTCCCCAAATGGCCATATCAGCTGGAGCTGGGTCTATCCAAAGCCAGAAGCCAGGAGCTTCTTCCAGGTCTCCCACTCTGGTTCAGGGACCCAAGCACTTGGGCCATCCTGCTCTGTTTTCCCAGGCCATCAGCAGGGAGCTGGATTGGAAGTGGAGCAGCCAGATTCAAACCGGCACCCATGTGGGATGCCGGCACAGCAGGCAGTGGCTTTACCTGCTATACCACAGCGCCAGCCCCTCCTCCACTACTTTCTGTGAGTGTCAAAGACCGCTCTGCCCCACAGAGAAGATAAAAGACCAAGGGGAAGGGCAGGGCTTGACCTCCTGTGCCACCTGCTAAGGCCGGACCACCTGCCCCAAAGCGAGGTCCTCATCTCTGTTCCCTCCTCACTCCATCGGAATATTTCCAGGGGTGGGGAGCTCCCCTTCCTCCTGCAGCCCTTTCGGCTGTGTGGCCAGGCAACCGGGGGCTGACACACACACCCCAAGAACTCTGACATGGAAAACATGATGCACAGTGACAGAAGCCAGCCCTGAAATGCCACACGCTGTAACTCTGGCTAGGAAACGCCCAGGACAGGCAAATCCACAGAGCCAGGAAGAAGACTGGCGGTTGGGGCCGGCATCGTGCCCAGCAGGTTAAGCCACTGCTTGCGATGCCGGCATCCCATATTGGAGAGCTGGTTCAGGTCCCAGCTGATCTGCTTCCCATCCAGCTCCCTGCTAATGTGCCTGGGGAAGCAGTGGAAAAAAGGCCCAAGGACTTGGACCCCTGCCACCCACATGGGAGACCTGGATGGAGTTTAGATCTGGCCCAGCCCTGCCTGTTGTGGCCATTTAGGGGGAGAACCAGCAGAAGGTAGCGCTCTCTCTCTCTCTCTCAGCATCTCATCCACTCTCTTTCATTCTGCCTCTCAAATACCCCTCCCTTTCCCACCCCTCTCCCCGTCCCTTCACATCAAGATCATTTTCGATTATCTTAATATACAGAAGATCAGCTTAGCAAATACCAAATCTTAAAACACAACAAAACATATGCCAGGTTTGCAACCTCCTGGGTCAGACTGTGCGCCCCTGGGTTCCAGTACCTTCTGTGTTCTCCAACCTTGCTACCTGTGCTCCTCTGCTGTGTTTCACTCCTATCCTCCCCCGACTGCTCTCTGCCACCATCCCTGATGGCACCCGCCCCCCCCACACACACACACACTCAGCCCCTTCACCTCCTCCCAGGGGCACAGGCACACTGCTGGCCTTCGTCTCCATAGCCTGAAAGCCTGGGCTGGGCGCCCATAGCCAGCTCACGCCTGCCCCTTTACTGCGGGTTCCTTGTATTTGCAAGGGATGGTGTGCAGTTACCATGCTGAACAAAGAACGTGTTGTAGATAAGGTTTGTCCAGTTTTCAGAAAAAAAAAAAAAAAACACTATGTGAGACTCTGAACTCACGAAAGCAGTAAGTTTGGGACACTCATTCACCCAAAAACAGAACCGCCATGACAAACAGCTGGACGGTGCTTACATGGGACTCAGCATTCAAAATGCACTCAACAAATGGAGCTATTACTCATTGTTGCCACTCCCAGAAGCTGTCTCTATGCCCGAGACAGGACAGGAAGAAAGGGAAGGCTCCCGGTGTACCACGCTGTCTCTTAAGGAGAATAGAAACAGAAAAGAAACAGGACCTGGCGCTTCACGGCAGGGCAAGGCGCTGGCCGGGTTTCCATGCTCACTGCACACACGGGGCAGGGAGGCTGCTGCCATTTCTTGTAGAAGAAACCAACCCCTTTGTTTGGGAAACAGGTGCTGGATCAGTGACCCTCATTGCTGCCGGTGCTTTAAGGACACTAGCCTTTGTTCCAAAGAAAGCGTTCACTTTCTCACACGCCCGGGGGCGGCAAGCGCACTGCCCACAGCGCACCCCAAGGCTTTCCCTGGAAAACCTCGGTGCCCAGACGTCCGCCAAGGGACGCCTTCTCAGAACATTCCACTTCTCAGCTCTGTCCCCAGCACCAGGGCAGAGCTGACTTCCGGACCCAGGCCTCTCTTTCCAGCTAAGGTTCTGGAAGAGAACACACTCCTCCCGGGGCCGAAGCCACCGCCCTGGGCACCGAGGGCTCCCCACGCTCCTGACTGCTTCTTGCTTCCGTTGTGACGGGCCAGGCTTGGTTGGCAGCTGCTTCCTCTCATCTCCCAGCTCCTCCTCAAGAGGTCACCGGGACTCCTACTGATGAGAACATGGGACTCAGCTGAGGCTTCCAGGCCAGCCCGGTCTCCATGGTTCCCAGCCTTGTCTAAATGGCTGTTCATATGGGACAACCTGCCAAGCGTCTCAATGCCACCACTTACTGAACACCTACTGTGCGCTTGCTCTATTCTGCATCATTTATTCGGTCCCTACTCGAGGTCTAAGACCTCTCAAGTGGGACACGTGCATGACAGGAGGCTGTTCCTGTGTCCCCACTGCAGCTCCTCCCTCTGGCTTCCCAGCTTGGGCAGTGGCACAACCACTCATCCACAGATGTAGGCGCCAATGCTCAGAGCCATCCTGGAAGGAGGGAAGTCAGAGAGGAGGAAGAATGAGGGACAGAGGAAGGCAGAGAAAGAGAGAAGAGGGACGGAGGGAGAGAGAAAGGAGGAAGTGGGGAGGGGAGGGGAAAAGGAGGGGTGAGTGAGGAGGGAGGAGGAGAGGAAGGTGGAGGGAGGGAGGAAGCAAGGCAGGGATGAAGGCAAGGAGCTTCCACTCCAGGGAAGCAGAGGTGAAAGGGTGTGTGCGTCATGTGGGGGCTGTGTTGGTTTTCCATGGCACAGGAATCGCTGTCATCCACAACCATAAAACCACGAACCTCCCCCAAAACAACCATTTTCAGAGCAGGAATTCGGGCCACCTGGAATGGAGTCCAGTTTCCCCGACGGCAAGACCAACCAGGACACAGTCCTCTCTGTCACAGTACGAGGCAGAAATAAACACCAACCTCGCGAGAGCTTCCACGCGCCTGAGTACTTCCTGCCAGGCACACGGACCGCAAGAGGCACCTGGGCCAGACCGGGGAAGGGACCGTGGTGCACCCACAGCCATCGCAGCCTACCCAGCGTGGGATCCCCAGCTACTAGGAACTAGGGCTCGGGTGCAGGGAGGTGACTAGTCACTCAGGTGCAAGGAGGGCAGAGCCCCACTCTTAGGGAGGTTCACCCGAAGGTCAGGGTGGGGAGGTGCCTTGTGCCCAGACAACCTGGTGTGAAATGCCTGTGGCCCCTCAGTGCCCTGGCTTTCTCTCCTCACTCTGGCCTCCTCCCTCTGACCTGCGTGGCGTCTGTCTCCTCTCGGAGAGCAGCAGCCCCTCCCCTGCAGGAGGGGACAGCTCCCTTCCCTAGTAGCAAGTGCCTCTGTGCCCCAGGGCCCCAAATCACATCCACCCATTCATTGTTTCCCCATACCGGAGCCTCAGGTGGCTCTGGGAGCTCCCGGGGCTGCCCCGGAGGCTGGAGCTGCCAGGAGCAGCCCTGGCCTGGGCATCCAGGGCAGAGCGCAAGTGGAGGGGTGTGATCAGACCCACGGAGTGGGGGGCGAGCAAAGCTTCCCTGGGCTTCGCAGCTCAGGCAGTGGCACAACCACTCATCCACAGATGTAGGCGCCAGTGCTCAGAGCCATCCTGGGAGGAGGAAGAATGGGGGAGAGAGGAAGGCAGAGAAAGAGAGAAGAGGGGTGGAGGGAGAGAGAAAGGAGGAAGTGGGGAGAAGAGGGGCTCATGGCCCTGGCTTGGAAAGCAGACGGCACTGGGAAGGGGCACAAGGCATTCCGGGAGTAGGGAACCGAATAGGCAAAGGCGTGGAAAGAGTTTTTGTGAATGATGGGGGTGCGAGCAGGAGAGAGCTAACCGTGTGTGTGTGGGGTGGGGGAGAACACAAGAGGCCCCTGGGGCCAGAACTAGGTAGCCTTGAACTCCAGGATAAAGGAAGGGGTCAGTAGGGCCATTGCGGGCATTAGGCGGAGCGTGGACAGGCGCGTGCTCCAGGGCAGGCGCCAGGCAGGAGCCCGGCTGAGAAGCACAAGGAGGGGAAGGGAGGCCGGGAAGGGGGAGGCCGCGGGGCGCCCCACTCACCGCGGAGCCAGCGCGCGCCGGCGTGCGCGTCCTTGGGGCGGATGAGGCGGCGCTGCGCGGCGCTGCGGCCCACGTACCACAGCATCCAGAGCAGCTGCAGCAGCATGAGCGCCGTCAGGAAGCCCAGCAGGTCGCCCTTGCCCACGCGCGACGCGTGCACAGCCCAGGCCAGCAGCAGCAGCAGCCCCGCCACGAACACCATGAGCCCGTACTGGCTGCTCAGCGCCTCGGCCAGCTTCTGCGGGACGCTGGCGCGCACCGCCGCCGCGCGCTCGGGGGCCCGAGGCTGGCCGGCCAGCATCTCCGAAAGCGTGGCGTCTCTCGTCCTGGGGACCGCCGCACCGGAGCCCGTCCGAGCCCCCACGCCCTCAGTCAGCCTGGCCCGGCCTCCCACGCCTTCCCACACCTGTCCTCCCCTGTGAGCCCTTTGGCCCTCGGTGAAGGAATCCACCCCGCTAGGGACCTGGGTATCCACGAGCACCGCGCAGACCCCACGCCCACCTCCCTCATCCCAGGAGGACCAGCAGCCCCCCGCCCACCCGGGACCCACGCGGACCGACCCCTGCTCCCCGTCCCCAGCCCCGGAGCCAGCTCTACCCGACGCCCGCTCGCCCTCCTGCACCTCGGCCCCCAACGCCGCCCGCTGCCCGCCGCAGCGCCCACGCCCCGGGCGCCCGGAAGCGCTGGGTGGCCAGGGGTGCGGCCCGCAAGCCGGCTGCTGCCGCAGGGAGGGGGAGGAAGTCGAGGGGTTCACCTGCAGCTGCCTGAGGGGCTGCCCGGGGGCGTGGCCGGGGCAGAGCCAAGGATCAGGCAGGCAGGCCCCGGGCCGTGCGCTCTCCGGGGCTGTCCCCGGGACCCCCGCGTGTGCCCGTCGGTCGTTTTGCCCTGGCCCCTGTGTGTTTCTGAAATCGGGTTTCTTTGTGCGGGCCTATGCCTGGGAGTGTCTGGCTAGGGGTGGGGGCGCCCAGCCCTGGAATAGAGCAGGGGGTATCCCAGGTGTGGTCTCTCTCCGTCTGGTGTGCCACTGCGTCCGCGGTGAGACGCGGAATCAGACCTCAGTCTTGAGTGCAAGGAGCTGGGGACCCGCTGCCGGGAGGCAGAGGAGCGGGGTCGCCGGTGGTGTCCGGGACCCAAGTGCTTCCTCCCGCCCCCAGCTCACGGGGCTCCCCTTTCACAGCGCCAGGATGCCCGCCTGGCACGGTGTCCACCGCCCCCCACCCCCACCCCCATCCCGTCCGGCTGCTGTGCGGCTCAGAGGGGGCTGGGGGGCTTCTCCAAAAAAGTGTCCCCAGGTCTGGCAGGGGCCGGGACCTCCGATGCACGGGGCGTGGCGCGGGCCTGGGGAGCGGGAGCCCCCTGGAGGGCAAGGGCGGTCCTGGTGCACAGTGCCCTGGGAGCGGCAGGCCGCCCCTGGAGACCCCCTCGCCTTCTGATTAACGCTCGGCTGCAGCGGTCTCTGAAGGAGAGACCCACACGTTGGCCTTGCTGGGCCCCCACGAAGGGGCGATGGGTGCTCAAGGAGGGGCCGGGAGCCCTGGGCTTGGAGGGAGTCAGTCTCGGGGCTTTGCTTTCCGATCCATCCCGGTCCCCTTCCCCTTCCCCATCCCCTTCCCCTTCCCCTTCCCATTCCCCTTCCCGCCTCCCTCCTCCCTTCCTCCCCCTTCTTTCCACACTGGATCCTCTGCCAGCACCCGCTCTGGGTGCTGGAGATTCAGCCGTGAAAAGACGCTGCCCTGGTGGAGCTGAGTTTCAGGCGGGCACGCGGGTAGACGGGAACCTTGTGAGTGCTGGCCTGGAACAGGAACCCGGAAGGGGTGAGGAGGGCTGGGAGGGGCCGGGAGGAGGCTGTGTGACACCTGAGAGATGCAGCTGGCGGGTTGGGAGGGCTGAGACCGGCAGCGGTGAGACCGGATCCAGGGAACTTAGAGAAAGGAGTGTGGCCCACAGCTCTGCCCGAGTGCCAGACTGGAAAGGAGGCTCCCCGGAGGCTGCAGGGCTGACGGCCGCCCCCCTTCCCTTCAGTGCCCTGTCCCCTCGCCTGGGACACACTGCCCGTATGGTGTCGACATCTGCTGCCTGCCTCTCCCGCAGCAGCCCAAAGCACCGTGGGGATCTTGTCTGTCTTGCCCACTGTGGATTCTCCAGTATGCAGAGCAGTGGTGCCTCGTGTGTAGGTGTGCGGCAGTGTGCTCAGTGGAGGGATGAGGGGTAGATGGACGGAGGGAGGGAGGGAGGAATGGAGGAGAGAGATAGATGAAGGGATAGATGGATGGATGGATGGATGAGTGATTGGATGGATGAATGGACCGATTGGCAGGTAGGTGAGGGATGGATGTATGGGGGATAGAGAGATGGGTAGGGGATGGATGGAGGGAGGGAGATGGATGTATGGGGGATAGAGAGATGGGTAGGGGATGGAGGGAGGGAGGGAGATGGAGGTATGGCGGATTGAGGGATTGGTAGGGGATGGAGGGAGGGAGATGGATGTATGGGGGATTGAGGGATGGGTAGGGGATGGAGGGAGGGAGGGAGATGGAGGTATGGCGGATTGAGGGATTGGTAGGGGATGGAGGGAGGGAGATGGATGTATGGGGGATTGAGGGATGGGTAGGGGATGGAGGGAGGGAGGGAGATGGATGGAGGGATGAGGGATTGAAGGATGGATAGACAGATGGGTGAGGGGTGGGTGAATAACATGGAAAAGCTCTGTCCCCCTTGCAATCCCCTTTACTTCTCACACATCACAGGAATCATTTTTAAACTTTCTTTCCAATTATGAGGTCCCTGAAGGCAGAACTCTGTGTGGCTCCTTCTTCTCTCCGACATCAGCATCTGGGCTTTTAAAAATCCATTGAGAACTGTAGGCTGAGTACCTACCACCTGTGTCCCCGGGATGTGCCAGGCCTGGGGACAGGAAAATGAAGCCCACAGTTCGTGCCAAATGCCACAAGAAGCCGGGAGAGAGAACTCGATGCCTGGCAGATGGCAGGGATCCCATGAGTGTCCCAGGCCCCATAAAAACCAAACTGCTTCTCCTTCATTTGACCGCTTTACAAAGCATCTTCCCATCCATGCTCTGCTTTTCATACATCAGCTCAATTCGACATGAATCGGAGGGAAAAGGCAGTGTCCAGTGGCGACTGGGCGGGCGGGTTCCAAAGTTAGGCTGCAGGGTTTGACTGCGAATCCATCGCTTACTACTGCGCTAACCCTCTGTGTGTCTCGGGCTTCTCATCTGTAAAATGAAGTCCTTGGAAAGAACCACGCTTACACACTTGTTCGAAAATGAGCTGCTACTCACAAAGCACTTTGGAAAATGCTTGCAATCCTAAGTCACTTTTCCCATTCGCTGAGCACCTGCTGAGTGTCGGGCACAGAGCTGAGGCTGTGTGGGAGGGGAATTCAGCTGCCTCTCCAACAGGTGCTCCCCTCCACCTTGGAGAGGTGTTACTGGGCAGTGGCTGCCCAGCCATGGACTCCAATTTCAGGCACTCACTGCATCTAGGTGGGGCCGTGTGACTAAGCTGTGGTCAGGGAGTGCATTTAGATCCAGACCATGAAAATTCCCTATGGAATCCTCTCCCTGGACACCCACATCCATAGCAACCCTGGAGCCCTCTGCTGACCATGGCAGAGCCCGCCATCCCGAGGCCCCACAGTGGAGGGTGAAGTGGAGTCCCCTGAGGAAGCTGGGCCTTACCCGAGTGAGAAGTGTGCCAAGCCACTGCAAGTTGGAGATGTAAGGACACAAAACTTCAGTTATGGTGGAGGCATAAGCCAGCAGATTACAGCGTGGTACCTATAGTGAATGACAAGTCTTAACCAGACATTTTCATGGTATTGAAGACTGCTAGGATAGATTTTTCTCACCAGAATAATAATGTTGAAGTCTGTGAAATAATGCGTCCATTAATTAACTCGAGTCATTCCACAATATATATTTCAAAATCTGTTGTACATACTTATGTACTTTTTTCAATAAAAATTCCTTTAAAAAGCGTTGCTAAAGAAAGACGATTTGATCTATATAACCGACAAATCTCGAGGAAGGGTAAACAGTTCCTCAACCTGAGTCAGACTTGCCCGCGTTCTTGAACGGGCAGGGACTGATTTTCAGAGATAAATCCTGCAACACTGCCACAAACAGATCACGTGAGCCCGTGGCTAAGCCTCCCCCAGGGTCTTCAGCACCACATCATGGTGATCTTTCACTCGGCAAGGGTCGCTGCAAGGTCTTTTTTCTTGGGTTGGAATGTTAGATTTACAGACATCTCACGAAGATAGCATAGAGCGCCCTGTTTACCTTCCGCCCAGCTCCTCTAACGTAGACACCACGTGCATTTCTCAAAACCAGGAAATTAACATGGATAGAATACTTCAGAGACTTTATCCACATGAGGTTACTTTTTCCATTGTTTTTTTTTTTTTTTCTATGTAGGCCTTTTGGAAAAGTTTTATTGCAACAAAAACAAAGAAACAAACCTACCCCGCTTAGCAGTACGTAGCAGTACCCATTTTATGTAGCAGTACCCATTTTATCGGGCTCCTGGGCCCTGTGGGTCAGGATTTGAAGACTGCTTTTTCTCTGCTTTACAATGCCTAGGCCTTAGCGAAGACTTGGTGCTTTGGTCTGAACGTTGGTGACGCCACCCCCGCCACCACTCCCACATGTTGAATGCGTATGTTGAGTCGTGATTACAGAGGTGCCAGTATTAGGGAGATGGGAGCTCTGGGGAGGCTCCTATCCAGTCACGAGGGGATTAGTGTCCTTCTAAGACAGGCCCCAGAGCTCACACAGCGCTTCCACCATGCGGGGACACAGGAGGCACGACCCATGAAGATCAGGCCTCGCCATCCGCTGAGCGCCGGCACCCTCTCGGCACCCTCTCCTCGGAGCGCCCACCTCCAGAACCGTGAAGAGGGCGTTTCTGTGGTTTCCGTCCCACCCAATCCATGGTACTGTGCTTAGCAGCCCGAGGGGGCTGAGACGGGGGTTTCTCAAAGCCACGCTTCTTCTCTCACAGTCTGGGGCCTGGGAGAAGATAAGCCAAAAGCTGGGCCCAGCTGGGACGGTCAAGCAGAGCGTGGACACAGGGCAGCCGGGCCCCTGGGCTTTGAGAACTTCCATCCGCTTTGAGAGGGAGAATTCCAGGAGGGAATCTGTGGGGAGCAAGCATTCCGGAGAACCCGGCAGAGGCCGCATGGCCTTTGTGACCTGGCTTAGACGCCACTTCCAGCATGTTCTATCAGGAAGGCAGTCCTAGCCCTCTCCATGTCAAGAGAAGGGACTACAGAGCTCCTAAGCGGGAACAGGGAGCAGGTGTTGTAGAGCAGCAGGTTAGGCTGCCGCCACAGAGGCTATGCTCCGCCTGCAGTGTCGGCATCCCATATGGGTTCAAGTCCCAGCTGCTCCACTTCCGCGGAAGATGGCCCAAGGACTTGGGCCCCTGCACCCATGTGGAAGACCCAGCTGAAGAAGCTTCTGGCTCCTGGGCCAGCTCCAGCGATGGCAGCCATCTGGGGAGTGAACCAGCGGATGGAAGATCACTTGTCTCTTTCCTTCCTTTTTAATAAACAGACCTTACCGATAAAAAAAGAATAAGAGAATAGTAGATAGGGCTACCACCTGCGATGCCAACATCCCATTTGGGCACTGGTTCGTGTCCTGGCTGCTCCACTTCCAATCCAGCTCCCTGCTAACATGCCTGGGAAAGCAGCGGAAATGACCCAAGAAGCACTTGGGCCCCTGCACCCACGTGGGAGACCTGGATGAAGCTCCTGGCTTTGGCCTGGCCCAGCCCTGGCCATTGTGGCCACTTGGGGAGTGAAACGATGGATGGAATATCTCTGTCTCTCCCTCTCTTTATCTTCACAAATAAATCCGTATGAGCACAGCAGATCCTGCACTCCTGGCTCAGGTTCAGCAAGCTCCGCCTTGGTGGGAGACTTCAGACTCACAGCCCCCATCCCTGTCCTCTTTCCTACTTCTCTTGGTTCCTAGCAAGTCACTGACGTTGCGCCCAAACTGGTGGCCTTTGAGCACGCAGACTGGTATTCCAGACATCTCTTCACCTAAAGCGGACAACCGACTGCACCATTCAACACTCCTCTGGGTGGACTCTGCTCCACCACGGTCCCTGACGGCCACTGCTGGGTGACGCCGCACACTGGAGCTCCCCATCTTGGGCTGGTGCCACCCTATCATGCAGAAGCACCTTTAACATCAGCCCGAGCTTCTTCTCAGCCATAAGAAGTTACCCATATGGGCCCAAGTTCAAGTCTTGGCTGCTCTACTTCCAGCCCAGCTGCTATGGCCTGGGAAGGCAGAAGATGGCCCAAGTCCTTGGGAGAACCAGAAGCAGCTCCTGGCTCCTGGCTTCAGATCAGCCCAGCTCCAGCTGCTGCGGCCATTTGGGGAGTGAACGAATGGATGGAAGACTTCTCTCTCTCTGCCTCTCAAATAAATAAATAAATAAATAAATAAATAAATAAATAAATAAATAAAACCTGCCCATGAGACCACAGAGATAAGTCATCAGGAGCTGGTCTCAAAGGAATATGGAATATGCCTGCATGTTGTGCAACTCCTGAACTCTGGCTTCCAAACCTGCTCAAGTTCAATGTCCTATACAGGACAACATGTTACAGCTGTGCAGGCCCAACCCCGTGGCTCAGCGGATAACATCCAGTTCCTGAGGCGCTCCGATCCTGCGTTATAATGAAGTGTGTAGTCCCTACCAAGGGCTGCTGGCAGTAAGCAATTGCTTCTCAAAAAGGAAATAATTCTGCAGAAGAGTATGGATCTGCCCTCAGGTCCCGAGGCACCTCTCTGTGCTGCTCCCATCGGCCCATCGGCCCGCCGGTCTCCACACGGCACAGTTTGCACAGACATCGAATGCCCTTGGCTCTGCTGGGTTATGAGACTGAGCAGTCGAGCACTTTGTGCCACAGCCTGTCAATGTCTCCTCTCACTCTGAACCCCACTCAGAACCCGCCTGGCAAAGCAGAGGAGGGCGGCCCAGGTACCTGCGTCCCCGTACTCACCTGGGAGACCCAGATGGAGCTCCAGCCTCCTGGCTTCAGCTTGGCCCAGCCCCAGCCGTTGGCGGCCATTTGTGAACCCACAGAGGGAAGGCCTCTGTGTCTCTCTCCCTCTTTCAAATAAATAAAAGAAACATATACTAATGAATGGATAGATGGATGTGTAGGCGGGGGACCTGATGTGGTATTCGTGATCCTAGATTCTGCTATCTGTCCCTCTGCACTATATTTGAGTACCTACTATGTGCTGGCACATAGTGGTGCCCTGCACATATTACTACTGTCTACCAGCTCTAAGAGATCATTCTCCTTTCACAGCTGAGAAAGACTACTTAGCAGCCAGTGCACGGCAGAGTGTGGCTAAGCCAGGCGCGAGAGGTGACTAAGTCCCTTTGCCGGGAAAGCCGTCAGCATCCGCTGTGCTGTGTCACCGTGCGCGCAGTGCCTGGGTTTCATGAGAACGTTCTTGATCTCAACGTGCAAACTCCGTCTCACGGGGCCTCTTATGAGCAGGCGGCCCTTCTCTGAAGAGAAGCCTCTGCTATTTCTTATTTATTTTACTTACTTTTTGCAAGGCAGGCATCAGAGAGCGAGCGAGCGAGCGAGCGAGCTTACATCTGCTATCTCACAAATGGCCACAAGAACCAGGGCTGCGATACACGGAAGCCGGGAGCCTGGAACACCATCCAGGTCTCCACGTGGGTGGCGGGACCCCCAGCACTTGGGCCATCTGCTGCTGCTTTCCCATGCACATCAGCAGAGAGCCGGATCTCAGCCTCTATTATTTCACAGCTAATCCAAGTGCTCAGAGCTTCAAATGGAAGCTATTCCAAAGTGTAGATAAACAAAACACACAAGGAAGTTATAAAAATACTTTTATTTAAATGCTGCAGAAAAAATTATACACTGAGAAATGATCAACAGTTCATATTTTAAAAAATGTTAAAAAATCCTGTGATTTACACAAAGATAAAATCTGATAAATGATAGGAAAACAAAATACAAGGGCACTTCAAAAAGTTTGGAAAAACTGAATTCAAAGATAAACTTATTTGGGTGCAGAAACATTCGGAATCATGCATAGTTTTTTCTAACATATTTCCACTAGCTTTTTGAAGACCCCTCATACTTTCAGTTGCTCCCCTCCCCTCTAGAAACCATTATGGAAGTAAGATGTACAGTATTACGGAAGGGGGGGTAAAGGCACATGACAACGCAACCCCGTTCCACACACTCCACTCCTTCATACAGTGACCTGCCATCCGGAAGTGGGAGACGGAACCACTTACTTGGGTATTAGGATGCACTAAGAACCTGGGGTGAAACTACTCTCTCCTCTGAATACTAACAGATTAACGCTGTCCAACAGTGACCTCCACGTAACACTGACTTCTGAGAAACTCAATCACTTGAGTTTGAGAATATCCAAATGAAATATAATTTATTCTGATTCCAACAACACATTTGCAAAGTCCCAATTCTTCCAAGAAAAGCTCTCCGTGGGTGCAAAAACACTGTGGCTTTCCCTCTCTCCGTCTGTAACGCCTTCTGTGGGCGGCCCCGACAGCTGAAAGAAAACCAGCATTTACGTGCGAGAAGAACACCCCCTCTGTAGTTCTGAGTTTAGCGTTACAAAGCGCAGTGCAGTCCACGGCCACAGCACCACCTGCCTCTGGGTTACAATGAGCCCAGGTCAGCAGGAGTCGGCGGGTCCGTCAAAGCTCACAACTGAGAGGCCGCAGAGGAGCTAACAAGAAGGGGAGGGGGGGCCAGGGCCACACGAGGGACGTGTCCCAGCAGCCACCTGGAGACTGGCCACAAGATTGCGTCCACACACTCTGTGTGGTGATGGAGACATTCCGGGAGGACCCCACAGGGAGAACACGCTGTTTGCTGGCGGCAATCTGCCTGCCCGAACACCCTGAGAACGGAGTCTGTGAGCCCCTACTGCTCGGGTCTCGGTCTCCGTCCTGTACACTGTGTCGGGAGTCACCTTCCTCCAGGGCCTTGTGTACGGGACTTGAGGGGAGGGATGACTTCGTCCCCTGCACACAGAGTAACCAACACCCTCACTCAGAAACAGACCTCCCGTGCAAGGCAGCAGGCCGGGGATGGGGCAGGGGAGTCCCTGGGGAGGCAGGAATTTTACAAACAAGGAAGACAAAGGCCGACAGGGCAACTAGCAGGCTTTGATGAGGCAGCCAGGGCAGAGAAAAGGGAAGAATGCATTTTCCTAGTTAGGTAAAACTGCCCTTTCCCCGTGCTCACGGCCTTAAGGAAAATCTAGCCAGCGTCGCAGTGTGTGTGCTGAGGGAAGCTCACTTCCCTCCCAAACGGTCCAGTGCATATGCATGCGGTCTTGGAAAGGCAGGTGCCTTCTATAACAAGTGCCACTCAGAACCGAACTGTACCACAGGGAAGATGCTCGGTGCCTTCTGAGTCCACGGACGAGCAGCGCTGGTGCAACCACGACTGGGAGTAACTCACAGCCAGCCGCTCGCTGCCTGTGTAATCACTGGGAGTAACTCACAGCCGGCCAGGAGCTGCCTGTGTAATGACTGGGAGTAACTCGCAGCCGGCCAGTCGCTGCTGTGTAATCACTGGGAGTAACTCGCAGCCGGCCAGGAGCTGCCTGTGTAATCACTGGGAGTAACTCGCAGCCGGCCAGGAGCTGCCTGTGTAATCACTGGGAGTAACTCACAGCCGGCCAGGAGCTGCCTGTGTAATGACTGGGAGTAACTCGCAGCCGGCCAGGAGCTGCTGTGTAATCACTGGGAGTAACTCGCAGCCGGCCGCTTGCTGCCTGTGAAACGACTGGGAGTAACTCACAGCCGGCCAGGAGCTGCCTGTGTAATGACTGGGAGTAACTCACAGCCGGCCAGGAGCTGCCTGTGTAATGACTGGGAGTAACTCCCAGCCGGCCGGTCGCTGCCTGTGTAATGACTGGGAGTAACTCACAGCCGGCCAGTCGCTGCCTGTGTAATGACTGGGAGTAACTCCCAGCCGGCCGCTCACTGCCTGTGTAATCACTGGGAGTAACTCACAGCCAGCCGCTCGCTGCCTGTGTAATGACTGGGAGTAACTCCCAGCCGGCCGGTCGCTGCCTGTGTAATGACTGGGAGTAACTCACAGCCGGCCAGGAGCTGCCTGTGTAATGACTGGGAGTAACTCGCAGCCGGCCAGGAGCTGCCTGTGTAATGACTGGGAGTAACTCCCAGCCGGCCGGTCGCTGCCTGTGTAATGACTGGGAGTAACTCCCAGCCGGCCAGTCGCTGCCTGTGTAATGACTGGGAGTAACTCCCAGCCGGCCGCTCGCTGCCTGTGTAATGACTGGGAGTAACTCACAGCCGGCCAGGAGCTGCCTGTGTAATGACTGGGAGTAACTCACAGCCGGCCGCTCGCTGCCTGTGTAATGACTGGGAGTAACTCACAGCCGGCTGCTCGCTGCCTGTGTAATGACTGGGAGTAACTCACAGCCAGCCGCTCGCTGCCTGTGTAATGACTGGGAGTAACTCGCAGCCGGCCAGGAGCTGCCTGTGTAATGACTGGGAGTAACTCACAGCCGGTCGGTCGCTGCCTGTGTAATGACTGGGAGTAACTCACAGCCGGCCAGGAACTGCCTGTGTAATGACTGGGAGTAACTCGCAGCCGGCCAGGAACTGCTGTGTCCAGCAGGAATGGCCACAAAAGACATTTTCAAAGTGAGTTCATATTCAGAAATAGCACTCCAGCTATCTTACCTCCAGAAATCATCCAAGGAGGGAGATCAACATTATAACTCCCATAAATTGCGTAAATAACAACAGCGGCGTTAAAAACGACCACACGTGCCATAAAGCAATGTTGAAGCTGAAAAGAACAACAACAAAAATTAAATAGTTGTTATTCCTAACTGTAATGCACACAATCTATTTTGTTCTAGAATCAGACTTAAAGAACTTAATTTGGGAAAGTTTGTCCAGCCAATAGCTTCCCATGTATCATACTTCTCAAATACGTGATCAGCCAACGCTGGAACTTCCAGTCTACCCGACGGTGCCCTAGCTTGAGTCTGGCTCTGCTCCACAGCCCAGCTTCCCACCGATGTGCATCCAAGGAGGCAGCAGAGGAAGGCTCAAGCACTTGGGTCCCTGTCACTCACACCAGACTCGGATTCAGTTTCCTGCTTCTGACTGGCCTGGTCCAACCCTGGCTGTGGCAGGCATCTGGGGGGTGAACCAGGGGGTGAAGATCCCTCTACCTGTGTCTCTGCCTTTCAAGTAAACAAAAACAAGTGTCTTACAAAGTGCTTGGAACTGGGGTCAATGGGAGTCAGCACGGCTTAACAGAACAGGCTTCAGTCCCTTAAATCAGCGACTGCAATGGAGCATAAGCTAAAATGGGTATGGTGTGCTTTTACAACCTCACACACTATCAAATCACCATGGAAATAAAGACAAAACTTCTCTCCTAAAACCAGAATGAGGGGCTGGCGTTGTGGGGTAGCAGGTAAAGCTGCCACCTGTAATGTCAGCATCCCATATGGGCAGCGGTTCATGTCCTGGCTGCTCCACTTCTAACCCATCTCCCTGCTAATGGCCTGGGGAAAAGCAGCAGAAGATGGCCCAGGGGCTGGGGTTCTGACACCCACGGGAGACACCTGGAAGAAGCTCCTGGCTCCTGGCTTTGGCCTGGCTCTGTCCTGGCTGTTGCGGCCACTTTGGGAATGAACCAGTGGATACAAGATCTCTCTGTCTCTCCCTCTATAACTCTTTCAACTCAATAAATATTAAGAAAAGGAAAAAAAAAAAAAAAAAACAGAACGAAGGGGTATTTGGCAGAGTGGTCAAGCCACCACTTGGGCCACTGCGCCTGGTTCAGGTCCCAGCTCCTCCTTTCTGCTAAGGCACACCCAGGGAGGCTCCCGGCCGTCCGTGTGCAAGACCTGGATGGAGTTCAGGCCCCTGGCTTCACCTGGCCGAGCCCTGGCTGTTGCAGGCATGTGACCTGTCTCCCTGCCTTCCAAATAAAATGAAAATAAATAAAACTTTAGAGTTAAAAATAATCAAAAAGTAGTAACTCATAAGCTGCTAGTAGTTTTTTTTTTTTTTTTTGACAGGCAGAGTGGACAGTGAGAGAGAGAGACAGAGAGAGAAAGGTCTTCCTTTGCCGTTGGTTCACCCTCCAATGGCCGCCGCTGCAGCCGGCGCACCGCGCTGATCCGATGGCAGGAGCCAGGATCCAGGTGCTTTTTCCTGGTCTCCCATGGGGTGCAGGGCCCAAGCACCTGGGCCATCCTCCACTGCACTCCCTGGCCACAGCAGAGAGCTGGCCTGGAAGAGGGGCAACCGGGACAGAATCCGGGGCCCCGATCGGGACTAGAACCCGGTGTGCCGGCGCCGCAAGGTGGAGGATTAGCCTATTGAGCCACGGCGCCGGCCAACTAGTAGTTTTTTTCATTGAGAAAGAACAGTATTCCTGTCACCAAAGTGAAAACTGTTCAAAAAATGAGAAGCCCCCACATGGAGTATTATGGAAGAATTCCACGCTATGTGGGTCCACTGACAAGGAAGAAAAGAAAAGTATCACCCCTCTGGAAAACGCAGGGTGCAACTCACCGCAGCTGGAGGCATGCACGTCTGTGCCCAGGCACCTCCTCTCTGACAGGGCTACACACTTAGACCCGCCCGCAGAGCTGTGTGCCACGTGCAGCACGAAACAAGGAAACGTGCCCATGGAGTCCTGAGTCGTGTCTTTCCCGACTTCAAACTGGAGAACCACCAAATGGCATCAACAAAACAAACAAACTGGGGCTCAGTCACACGGACTGCTGAGCAGCGACAAACACCAGCCACGCCAGGTGCGGCGCTGTGGACGGGTTTGTACCTAATGCTGCGCACGAGCAGCCAAACACCAGACAAGACAGCACGCACAAATCCACCTCAAGGAAGGGGCTGGTGTGGTGGTGCAGCGGGTAAAGCCATCGCCTAAAATGCCAGCATCCCATAAGGGTGCCGGCTTGTGTCCCCACTGCTCCACTTCCAATCCAGCTCCCTGCTAACATCCTGGGAAAAGCAGTGGAAGGCTAACCCTCTGCCTACAGCACCGGCACCCCAGGCTCTAGTCCCAGTCAGGGCGCCGGATTCTGTCCCAGTTGCTCCTCTTCCAGGCCAGCTCTCTCCTGTGGCCCGGGAGTGCAGTGGAGGATGGCCCAAGTCCTTGGGCCCTGCACCCACATGGGAGACCAGGAAAAGCACCTGGTTCCTGCCATCGGATCAGTGCAGTGTGCCAGCCGCAGTGGCCACTGTGGGTGAACCAACAGTAAAGGAAGACCTTTCTCTCTGTCTCTCTCTCTCACTGTCCATTCTGTCAAAATAAAGAAATAAAGGCAGTGGAAGGTGGCCCAAGTGTCTGGACCCTGGCACCCATGTGGGAGGCCCAGATGAAACTCTTGGCTCCTGGCTTCAGCCTGGCTTCCTTCCAGCTGTGGCAGCCATCTGGGGAGTGAATCAGTGGGTGGAAGATTCTAACTCTGATTTTCAAAATAAATAAATAAATTAAATCTTCATTTAAAAAAAAAAAAAGAATCCATCTCTACACAGCTCAAACAGAAGACTAAACAAAAATAAGGTATCTAAGGGATGCAAAAGACAGTGCCGACCACAAAGCTCAGGGCAGGGCTACGGGGCAGGATGGGCTGCACTGACTGGGCGGACAGCGGGCGACGCTGGGTGCTGGCTCAGCTCTCTCCACGTGGTGCGGTTTACACCAGTGTGTGTTTGGTGACCGTTCATTTCCGTGTACGTTTCAGTTTCGTCTGCTTTTCTGTGTTGTATTGTGCATAACAACGAAACAGATTTAACCATCAAGATGCAGACTACGTGTGGGACGTTACCCACACGTAGCATTTCAGTGACTTGGTACATACGCAGAGGAAGAGACGCTGGGAGGAACAGGAATGACTGGAGACCACCGTTCTGTTACACCCTCTAATTCTTCTGCCTTTTACACCAGGTACGTAATTTCCTCCTTCAATTAACTCACCATATTCCTGCCGCGATGAAGGCAGCGGTCGTGATGGGGATCAGGGCCGGGTATCTGACGTCATACTCCTCAATCCCACGATACCACTCCAGATAGACGATGCAGTACAGTGCAATCGACAGACTGACGAGCAACAAGGCACTGCCAGACAGGAACCAACTGTGGACGCAGAAACAGCCCATGAAGCCTTGACAGCACTTAGCCAATCGGCAGACATCTCACACATTTCATGACAGCCTAGCACTCTCCTTCTAGAACAGCAACTGCAGAAGGCTGCAGAGGGACTCGGTTACTCAACCTTGGCTTTCACGGCCTCAGTGGGAGGGACACGGGGCTGAGACACGACCAGACGCACGACAGGATTAAGAGCACTGTACTGCGTGCAAACCGACATCAAGCAGGAACCCTGGGGACACCGACGCCCTGGTCTGAAAACAGACGAGACAGCAGCTCTCTGGCTGTTCTGAAGTTTTCAGTGCAGGTCCCGCCAACTCCTCGTGAGGCAGAGCTCCTTGGAGCACTGCAGACCAACGGGAAGACGTTCACCCAAATCCTCTCAGAACTCCAGAGGAAAACCTCCCATTTGCAAGATATTTCTTAGCCTCTCCTGGCGGACAATGTCTTTACACTCCCTTCCAATTCCACCTAAAACCTGTCTCAGTGTGTGAGGCAACTCTGACAGCCCCTAATTCCAGCCCCAGCTAGTCATGGAAGAGGCAGACTGGGGAATAAAGTCCCTCCCATCCCTCCCGACACAACCCAGTACCCCCATCATGCTTTGCTTCTCTATGGCGATCCTGTGGGAGGCAGAGGACCGCTGGCGTGGCAGCTGTTACGCGGCCCTGAGCGGGATTCCGGCAACAGCAGAGTCCGAGATTCCAGCACGGGCTCCTGTGGCGAAGCGGGGCTGGGGACGAGAATCCCAGAGGCGTCTGCAGCACCGGGCGGGAGCCCAGCCCTGAAATCTAGGCTCAGCCCCGACCCGCTCTAGACTGCACAGATCACCTAAGCCGACGTGCCCAGAGATACTGACCGTACTTAACTCTCAGAGCCGCTCCGAGAATCCCACGAGGTGCCTGCCAGCCCAGCGGACCCTCAGCGGCAGTGGTCATGACTCCACCGAGCTCACCTACAGACAAGTATCTCCGTTCTCCTGGGGGGTCCTGAGAGACCCTCTTCTGCTCAAGTGCGCATTCTCAACAGGGCATTCTTAAAGCTGCCCGGACAAAACCTGGCAAGGCAGCGCTAAGCTTCCGCGGCCTGCAGCACAAGGCCTCTTAGCTTGTCTGCTGCAGGCCAGGACAAGCCGGCAGAGGGCTCATTCATCCCTGGATCCACAGCCACGCAGTCTCGGGCTCACGTGACCATCTGGTGAATGAAGGGGCAGCTGCGGCCAGCGGTGGTTAGAGTGCCCACTCCCTGTTTCCCAGCCCGAGTTCTAAGCCGAGAGAGAGAGATGGAGGAATCGGGCTGACGACGCTCTAAGGCCCGTACCACTGCTGGAGCTGTGGGAAGACATTACTGGGGAGAGAGACGGAGGCCTCCTGATACTGAAACCCAGAGAGACAGGCTCACCCCCTGGGCTCCAGGCGCAGGGAAACCCAGAGAGAGACAGGCTCACCCCCTGGGCTCCAGGCGCAGGGAAACCCAGAGAGAGACAGGCTCACCCCCTGGGCTCCAGGCGCAGGGAAACCCAGAGAGAGACAGGCTCACCCCCTGGGCTCCAGACATAGGGAAACCCAGAGAGACAGGCTCACCCCCTGGGCTCCAGACATAGGGAAACCCAGAGAGAGACAGGCTCACCCCCTGGGCTCCAGACATAGGGAAACCTAGAGAGAGACAGGCTCACCCCCTGGGCTCTAGGCGCAGGGAAACCCAGAGAGAGACAAGCTCACCCCCTGGGCTCCAGGCACAGGGAAACCCAGAGAGAGACAGGCTCACCCCCTGGGCTCCAGGCGCAGGGAAACCCAGAGAGAGACAGGCTCACCCCCTGGGCTCCAGACACAGGGAAACCCAGAGAGAGATAGGCTCACCCCCTGGGCTCCAGGCACAGGGAAACCCAGAGAGAGATAGGCTCACCCCCTGGGCTCCAGGCACAGGGAAACCCAGAGGCCTCTCCTGCCGAGGCTGCACGGAAACGCAGGCTGCAATCTGTGCCTCCTACGGGCGGTCATGCTGAGCTCTCGAGTTCTTCACCTCGAACCCTACCAGCGAGGTCCACCACCTCCCAGGGAAGGAGAGAGAGAGGTGGGAGAGCAGGAAGCCGGCGGCATGCGGGCGGAGTTCGGCACGAGAGGAACAGGCCATCTCCCCGCCACAGCTCTGAGAGCTCGCCGGTGCCTAGCCCTGACTGCTTGCTCCCTCCGCTCCTCCAGCCCCCACCCCCCACCCCCGAAGTCGCCTGGAGGACAAGCGTGTGCCCACCATGACCCAAAGCCCCCGGTCTGTCTGCATCTCTCCAGGGCCCCTGGTACTTCCAGATGACGACTCCCAGCCCTCAGCAAAGTAGCCCTCCCCAAGCCCGCTCTGCCCTGTCTCGGGGCCCCCACACCGTTCTCCGGGGTTCAGCGAGGGGCCCGGCACATGGTTCACAACCTTCTCCTCCACTCAGCTCCTGGGGTCACATTACAGGGCACTGGGTCCTCATGAACCAGGGATTACCAACACCAGGCCCACCCTCCTGGAACCCTGCCCGTTCACCTGCTCTCCGAAACAAACCCTGGGAGCTGTCCTCACCAGCCGGCTCTCGGCCCCTCCTCCCAGCTGTCCTGCACTTGGTCGTCAAGAGACCGTCAGACTTTCTCTCGCCATTTCCCCCAGTGCGTTACACCCTTACACTCACCAGCACCCCCCCACAACACATCTGTACTGAAAAGACACTGACACAACTTCCAGTTCTCGCCACTGCTGTGCGTGCCCACGGCACACGCCCTCAGCTCAGCCTTGTTTCACTGCCTGTATGTGAGGGGATGATGTGATGATGTGATATGTGCACGCACGCATCCGTCACTTCCCAGAGCTCCCGCTGTGGCTTGTGTACGGGATGTGTGGGCGGAGGACTCACGAGAACACTCTCCTGGCCAAGTTCAAGTACACAGTACCTTACTGTTAACAATACAGTTAGGGGCCGGCGCTGTGGCACAGTGGGTTAAAGCCCTGGCCTGAAGTGCCAGCATCCTATACGGGCACCGGTTCTAGTCCCGGTTGCTCCTCTTCTGATCCCGCTCTCTGCTATGGCCTGGGACAGCAGAAGAAGATGGCCCCAGTCCTGGGGCCCCTGCACCCGTGTGGGAGACCCAGAAGAAGCTCCTGGTTTCAGATTGGCACAGCTCCGGCTGTTGCAGCCATCTGCAGAGTGAACCAGCGGATGGAAGACCTCTCTGTCTCTACCTCTCTCTGTAACTCTTTCAAATAAATAAAATAAATCTTTAAAACGTGTGCCCTTTAACCAACACTGCTCACTCATCTCTGCCCCCAGCACCAGCACGGTGCCCGGCACACAGGAGGTGTTTTCTTAATTTCTGAAAAACCCACCTGAAAAAATGGAACGCGAGAAGTAAGACGAGGGCGTCCAAATTTTCTTACCTGCTAGTGTGAAAGTTCTCTCTCAGGGTATTAAAGAAATCAACATAGTAGGTCACAGCAATGGAGGCCAAAATCCAGAACCCGGAATGGAGGTTCAGTCTCGGGAGAGGTTTCTCCTTCTTCTCGGCAGCTGTGGAAGCGCCTGCAAATAAAATCCCCAACTAAGTTCCCAGAACTTACGGGGAGATCACACCTACTTTAAGTCAATTTCCCTGCTCTTTCTAAAAAGCAGAGTCTCTCCCTTTACAGCACCGAATCGCCCTGTAAAATCATTATGCCATCGCATAATGCAGAAAAAATATAGATGCAGAACAAACCAATAGGAGTCTGCATAAAACATGTTCAATGCAGGTAACGTCCACATTGTCAGTCTTTTGGAAATAACGATGCTATTCACAGTGTACAGCTCTTCAAACTAGGTTTCACCTGAGTGAAAGTTAAGAAGTCACGAGTCTTGTTAAGAAAAAAAAAAGCAGAGATAAACATCAGAGCACAAAATGGACTTGTCACTTGTCGTATCTAAATTATTATTATTATTATTATTTTGACAGGCAGAGTGGACAGTGAGAGAGACAGAGAGAGAGAAAGGTCTTCCTTTGCCGTTGGTTCACCCTCCAGTGGCCGCCATAGCCGGTGCGCTGCGGCCGGCGCACTGCGCTGATCCGATGGCAGGAGCCAGGTGCTTTTCCTGGTCTCCCATGGGGTGCAGGGCCCAAGCACTTGGGTCATCCTCCACTGCACTCCCGGGCCACAGCAGAGAGCTGGCCTGGAAGAGGGGCAACCGGGACAGAATCCGGCGCCCCGACCGGGACTAGAACCCGGTGTGCTGGCGCTGCAAGGCGGAGGATTAGCCTAGTGAGCCGCGGTGCCGGCCTCTAAATTATTTTTAAACACATGTAATCTCTTGAGTCAGCTCAAACATGGGAAAGGCACGCCACAACTCTCGGGCCGGCACAGGGCGGTCCAGACAGGTGCCAACAAGTCCCTTCTTCCACCTGGGACTTCCTCGGCAAGACGGGGGGGCTGGGCCAGGTCTTCACTGCAAGGAAGAACCGCAGGTGCCCATCGCAGGGCCTGGGCCTTTAGCAGACCCATCAGATGCCTGAAACGCAACCTGATCTTAACAGAGACCCTGGGGACACACCCAGAACGCAGAAACCAAAGCTGCCGTGGACCCAGCTCACAACGTACGGGCCAAAGGATCTAAAACGAAATGCCCCGACCTTCACCCCAATTCCCCAGCCAGCCCGGGGCAACCTCCACTGTCACTTGTACTGCGTTCTAGCACATCCCGTGGCCTCCCGGTGAACGCAGCACACGCAACTCTGCATCTCCCTGAGAAAATCGGCCACAGTCGGCACACGGACGCCTGCCCGCGTGCCCCGGACGGACAGGGGCGGTCTCATTTCACCAGTTTCGCATCGACGGCAAATCGGGTGTCCCCAGTCGTTTGCTACTAAGAGATGCTGGCGTGGACACCTTCACTCCGAATTTTTCTTAAAAAAAGACTTTTAACGGCTATCTCCTCACAGGCGCTCCCAGAAATGCTGAAGCGGGACTAAGACGTGCAAGGCTGCGTGAGCCTTCCGTTCGTGACATTAAATACCCGACTTGCAAAAACTACTTTGTAGCCGAGAAATGAAACCCGGCCCCTCCGGGAGGCCCGTGGAGCCGGCCGCTTCCGGGGGAACCTCGGCGCGGCTCGGAGCGCGCCTCACCCGGCCTGGCGTCGCCCTCGCCGTCCCGCGGGACCGCGGAGTCCGACGACAGCAGGTACCGCCGCCGGAGCTGCTCCCGGGCCCACGGAGCGTCCATCTTGGCGCCGCCCAGAAACGCGACGGAAGTGACGTCGGCGCACAGCACTTCCGGCGCCGGCGTCGGGGGCGGGGTCAGCGGTGGTCGCGGGTGGGAGGCGGTGGGGTGGCGTTAGTGGGTGCGAGGCTCGTATCCCACGCGTGATTTGAAGTTTTGGGTACTACTAGCCTTCCCGGGTCCTTAGGGCGCTGATGCGTTTCCGACCTACGGAAGCCCAGAGGAACCAAGATGGCCGACGCCCGTGGGCGCTCGCCGGGCAGCCCGGCTCCCGAGTCTGCCCAGGCCTCCCGGTGTTGGAGCAGGCACGGACGTTCGCCCCGGCCTCTTTCCTACTCCTGCCTCTAGGGAGTCGCCCAGCCGGACTGGAAAGGGCTGAAGGCAGCCCCAGGAGGGAGAGGGGGCCCCGAACCGGGCCTCTGACCCCGTGGGGGACAGGAATGACCCTCTCTGGGCCTTTTGCTCTCAGGCCCGCTGGGCTCGGACCTGCCTGCGCTCAGGTGGTTCGTGGGAGAGCTCCTTGTCCCGCCTGGGGGAACGTGTCCCCTCCGGACCGTGGGCACTAAGGTGCTTTCCCGGCCGCCCAGCGCTCAGAAGCCGTGTCCGCCGGTTCCCGGCTTTCTGTCAAACGGTCATCCCGATGGCTCTCCCGCTGTCCCCTGGCGAGCCGTGTTGCTGAGCGCCCACTGTGCGCTGGGAATGCTAGGCGGTGAGGACAGACTGCCCGTGAGCTGCGGCTGCAGCGCCGACCTGCAGGACGGCGCAGTGCACGGGGGCGTCCTTACCCCGGCCCCGAGTTCCGGGCAGCTGCGGGCGGGGCAGCGGTGATGGTGGTGGGTGGCGCTGGCGGAGGAGGTGGCCTCAGTAGGGTGCGCCTGGGGCTATGGCAGCGCTCAGTGAAGTCTGTTCTGGGGTGCGGGCAGGAGCAAGGGGAGCGCTTGAAGGAGATGGAACACAGGGCTGGTAGGGTAGTCCGAAAAGCCAAGGCGGACGTGAACTTCGGATTAGCTAGTAGGCTGCTCTTCCATATCTCCTGGGTGTTGTGGGTGTTTGTAAAAGGAATGTAATAAAAAATATTTAAGAAGAATGTCAGCCGGCGCCGCGGCTCACTAGGCTAATCCTCCGCTTAGCAGCGCTGGCACACCGGGTTCTAGTCCTGGTCGGGGTACCGGATTCTGTCCCGGTTGCCCCTCTTCCAGGCCAGCTCTCTGCTGTGGCCAGGGAGGGCAGTGGAGGATGGCCCAAGTGCTTGGGCCCTGCACCCCATGGGAGACCAGGAGAAGCACCTGGCTCCTGCCATTGGATCAGTGCGGTGCGCCGGCCATTGGAGGGTGAACCAACGGCAAAGGAAGACCTTTCTCTCTGTCTCTCTCTCTCACTGTCCACTCTGCCTGTCAAAAAAAAAAAAAAATGTCAAGTTCTTAGCGGCCCATTTCTGCAATTCCTTCAACCTTCCTGTACCCTTGGGAGCAGAGAGACTCACAGCCCGGCAGACTGCGGCCTCTCTAAACAATCCCTCCTTTTTTCCTGCTCTGTTTCTTTGCAGACTCTAAACTGGGCTTCATCTCTTCAAAGCCAGCCGAGGTCTTGGCCCCTTTTTCTTCTTTCTCTTGTACGGGGTTAGAAGCCTTGTTAACAGGAAGTGACTTCGTCCCATCGAACAGTCTTGTTGATCTTTCTCCTCGAGAAAAGGTCAGTGCCGGGGCTCCCTCGTAACCAGATATTCCCGGGAGCCCCCCAGCCACCCCGGGGTTTCCGTGCGCGGTATGTTGAGGTCAGATCGAGTTCCCCCTTCGGTGGTTTCGGGGCCTTTGTATTTGGAGCTGAAATCCGTCCAGCTTTTTCCCCCTGATATTTTAAATGGCACTACTTGCATACCTTATTGATGCTACTTAAAAGCAGATTGGAAAAAATCCAGTATTTAATGACCACATCTTCTTTGTTGGGGTCCATTCAGTGAGTTCTTCAATGTGTGTACTGTGGCACCTTAATTATAGATAGAGATCAGATTGCTACCAGTGCAGACATTTTCAGTGTGGGTTACTTGTAGGGAGAACAGTGGCTCTGACTGTGACCTTGCTGGTTCCGTTAGCCATATGGTTATGTCCGAGGTGTTTACAGCCTACGGAACCCTGGCTCCATCACTGTGGCTCTTTGGGTGTGTTGTTTCATTTTCCTGGATATCAATTTCAGCATCTGAAGCAGCATGAACCAGAGTGCGGGTGGATGTACACAGGTGGCTTAGCCTAGTCCCTGGCCAGTGGTATGCATTCAGGAAGGCTACCTGCTGTTCACGACTCCATAGCTTGGCCTTCAAGATCTTGCACCTGCTCACCTCCTGGTCGGTATTTCCTGGTGCTTGGGCTGCAGCCACTCTTCGTTCATATTTCTCTTTCAGGAATTAGCAGGTGGGGCCATGGGGTCACCTGGCTTCCAGCAGTGGCTGCAGGGGCTAGAGCTAGGATGGTGTGCAGAGTGTAGATGGCACCATAGGTAAGACTGCGCCATTTTACTAACATTCCCCCTTTTGTTTTTTATTTTTATTTATTTTCTATTTATTTATTTATTTGACAGGCAGAGTGGACAGTGAGAGAGAGAGACAGAGAGAAAGGTCTTCCTTTGCCGTTGGTTCACCCTCCAATGGCCGCCACGGCTGGCGTGCTGCAGCCGGCGCACCGCGCTGATCCGATGGCAGGAGCCAGGTACTTCTCCTGGTCTCCCATGGGGTGCAGGGCCCAAGCACTTGGGCCATCTTCCACTGCACTCCCGGGCCACAGCAGAGAGCTGGCCTGGAAGAGGGGCAACCAGGACAGAATCCGGCGCCCCGACCGGGACTAGAACCTGGTGTGCCGGCGCCGCTAGGTGGAGGATTAGCCTAGTGAGCCGCGGCGCCGGCCCCCTTTTGTTTTTTATAAAGCAAGAGTTGTATGGGATTACATTAGCCCCAAAAGTCCAGGAGGGGTAGAGGGACAATGATCTGCCTTTGGAGCTACCTCCTGCTGGCATGGGGCGACGTCTCAAGCTGCTGTCTCGTGGTGGGGAGCCGAGTAGATCTGCAGCGGCATTTGGTGGACCGCCTAATTGCTGAAGGCCTTGGTTTGTTCCATTATCACCTGCTGTCAACACTTAAGCTGACCCGGTAGTATGAGGGTGAGGGCTGGCACCGAGGCTCACTAGGCTAATCCTCTGCCTGCGGCGCCGGCACACCGGGTTCTAGTCCTGGTCAGGGCGCCGGATTCTGTCCCGGTTGCCCCTCTTCCAGGCCAGCTCTCTGCTGTGGCCAGGGAGTGCAGTGGGGGATGACCCAAGTGCTTGGGCCCTGCACCCCATGGGAGACCAGGAGAAGCTCCTGGCTTCGGATCAGTGCGATGTGCCGGCCGCAGCGGCCATTGGAGGGTGAACCAACGGTAAAGGAAGACCTTTCTCTCTCTCTCTCTCTCTCTCTCTGTCTCTCTCTGTCCACTCTGCTTGTAAAAAATAAATAAATGAATAAATAAATAAAGGGACAGGGTGAGAAGAGCAACCAGTAGTCCTAGCAGTGGCATTAACCAAGAAATGAGAGGATTTCACAGAGGAGAGGAAATGGGGGCGGAGGGGCCTCTGGACCCTTGTGAAGACTGTTTGATGGACATGGTTTAAAGCTGATTCCAGCCAAGACTGGGAGAAAGGCCACTCATCTTTTGCGTGTAGAGGGGTTTGTAGAGAAACAATCAGACAACATTAAGTGGGGGAGAGGACCATGAATACACAGGTCAGGAGTAGAGCCACTGATGTTAGAGTAGAGGCTGTGATTACAAAGGAGTGAGGCCCCAAGGGGGCTAGACAGCATCTAGAACAAAGGACAGAGTCATTATTGTAAGAGAGCTGCTGTCTAAACTACGATTATGTTTTCTGATTGAGAGGCAAATAGAAACTGACAGAGAGGTCTGATAATAATCAGGTAGGCTTTAAGACTTTGTCTGTTATGAAGCCCAGACTTCTCTCTTCACATGGGGTACATCCTAAGGGAGGTATGAACCTCCTTGGGGAAGGCACCCTGTTGACTCCCATTACCTCACTGGCCTGGGAGGAGAGCTGGCCAGGGGAAGGCAGGTGGCATCCGTAACAGAAAATTTACCGTTCTGCCTGATTGTTACTGACCCTGCTTGGCCACAGCGGTGGCTACTTTGGAAGCTGGGCCGAGTGCTGAGATTTTCGGCTTGGAGCCAGTAAGATCTGTGGCTCTGACCTGGGCGTTCTTCGACTCCAGGTTGAAGACTTGTGATAAACATGTTATTTTCTTCGTTGTTGTTGTTAAGATTTATTTGTTTGAAAGGCAGAGTTACAGAGGCAGAGAGAGGTCTTCCATCTGCTGGTTCACTCCCCAGAGGGCCACAATGGCAGGAGCTGCACCCATCCGAAGCCAGGAGCCAGGAGCTTCTTCTGGGTCTCCCACGTGGGTGCAGGTCTCCCACTTGGGCCATCTTCCACTGCTTTCCCAGGCCACAGCAGAGAGCTGGATCGGAAGTGGAGCAGCTGGGACATGAACTGGCTCCCATATGGGATGCGGGCACTGCAGGTGGCAGCTTTACCCACTGCACCACAGCACTGGCCCCGTGATAAACATTTCCAAACCAGCCCCAGAAAGGGTTGACTGCTCTGCTCTGCATTCCTCCAGCCGTGGGCAGACGAAGCCAGCTTCCCGCTTTATCACTCCGATCAGAGTTTCCCAATTACTAGTTGGGACTGGGAGGCAATCTCTGATTTTAAGTAGCTCTGCTTGGCTCGTTGAGGCTACGTGCAAATCTGTCTTCCTTTTGAGAAGTTCATTGCTGCTTTTCGTTTTAATATATGTATTGAGGGAGAGAGCGAGAGGGCATGAGAAGCAGAGCTTCCACCTCACGCCTCCGTTGCAGGCGCAGCGGCCAGAAGTGGGCTAGTTCTTTCACCACAACCAGAGCCAACTCCAGGCAGCTAAGCAGTGTGAGAGCAAGAACGCCCCCAGTGACCGCTGTCGCCATTAGTATATGCAGTTTCTCAGGGAAGCCGGTTGGAATTCCTCGCGAGTATCTCCTCACACTAAAGA